GAAATGCATATCTCACATTAAAATTAACTACAAGACTGGCAAGGGAACTTGGCTTGCACGAATAGAGAGAGAGATTATTAGTAGAAGGCTTGATTACCATTCTTCGATCGATCATAGAGCATCCATCGGCACAGAGCAATGTCGGGAATGTGTCAAAGCCTTCTGCTAGACACAGCATAAGTATAAGCCTTATCCCTTTCTGACACTCGGGTCTCTCGGCCAGAGACAAATCCCCAGTCGATTTTGTATATGCACGGAGCAGAATGATCCACCAGAATCCAGAGTCAACTGGAGCAACTCTTCCAATGGCACTCTCTCCAAAATCTGCAACGATTGTGTCCACTTTACGGACAGGGTCATGAAGAACTTTGAAGCTAGCTGGCATTACACCTTCTCCTAACTTGAATCTATCTATTTTTTTCTCCCACCCTTGAAGTTGTAGAGTCTTCAAGAGGAAGTTCTTAACTATCTCAGGCTCTCCATTCATCAGGAAAGCCAAAGCACTGGGTACAAAATCTCTTACAAAAACCTGAAACAAAACAACAAGCAGACGATCCGATAAATCTTCACTATCATAACTCACCAGATTGTAATAGATTTTAAGCATTAAAAATAATTACAAATATTTCAAATTCTCCTTGATTTTATACATATGCAATAAAGATGTCAATATTACTATCTGATGAGAACTTTACCTGATCATAGTTCAAAACTTCCTCTGAAGCATGATCGTATGCGGCAATGGTACCAACAGGTTGGCCTCTGAAATAGACCATAGACCTCCTGAGAGCCTCCCATGCTTCAGCCACGATGGGGTGCGGATCAAAGGAGTTTCCACCCCAAGAAGCTGGAGTATCAACGCCTGACCTCCCACCGGGCGAGTGCATGCTGTCGTAATTGTCATAACTCCCTCTTGTGAGAATCATGGGGAGTTCAATGAGAGACCTTTCATCAAATGATCTTTGCCTCTCTATGTAAAGCCTTGGCCTTTCAAGGAGGCGTGAGAGATCATGATCATCCAATTCGGTAAGTGAGCAAACTGAGCTCACATTTCTGATTCCTATATGTTTAGTCCCATCCATTTCTTTGTCCAAATTGCACAAAAATAAAAATTCTCAAGCTTCAGAACAAGATATTTCACTGCTCAGAAAAAAGAAAGAAAGATGAAAGGATTAGATCCCCAGATATTTTAGATGACAACAATGATCTAATAACAAAGAAACATGCTTATATGTAAACAGGGATGCTGGGACTCTATTTATAAAGCTGATGAAATAAAAGGCTTGCACTATTATACATTTAGCTATCCTCTGCCTCTTTGTTACAGTGCAGAAAACAGAACATTTGCTCCCCAATCATCATCATCAATATATAAGGATTTGGAAATGCACATTACAAGGATATGCATATTGCAAAATTTTAAGAAATTTACTGCATTATACTTGACTAGAGGGAAAAGGATTAAGATGCATGCCAAGAAGAACCAACGAAGTGCATGGTAAAAGAAACATCACAAATAAAGCCATTTGAAAAGAAAAGCAGATCCGATACTCGGCCAAAACATCAAAGAAACAAATCAACACACCCAGAGCTTCATATAAATTAAAAGGAAAGAGAAAAACAAACATTTAAGGAAATAAATATGTGGAAGAAGTGAAATCTCAGGCACATCCCCAGAGAGAAGAACGACTGAATATTTCGTCGGAAAAAGAAAACAAAAAAAAAGGGAAAAGAGAAGAAAAGGAAAGAATAATGTGAAGAGATGATATTTACAGAGGGGGAAAGAAAAGACTATTTGAGAACCAAAAATAAAAATAAAAATTGTATTGTACTAATAATAACAACCGTACGATTACCGTGTCTTTCTCTGCCTTTGGCTTTTGTTGCAAGAACATAAAAATTTGGGATTGGACTGAGTTTACCGGCAATAGCCGGTGAAAGCGCGCGCGAAATGTCCCAACGGCTTTGGTTGTCCGATTTGGCAACTACAGGCATTTTTATATATACGCAAATAATACTTTTTTATAATTAATTAGAGAAATTACATCTATTTTTTAATAAAAATAATCCTCATCTAAATCGCATAAGATAAGATGAAAACGCATCCTATTAGCAGCGCTTTATAAAAGATGGAATTAATTAAACAAATTTTTTTATGTGATACTTCAGTTGAGATACATATTTTAAGAAAATATCTCCAAAATCGAAAATTAATTATTAAAAAATTTAGAGTTATTTTAAAAACGATTTAGGATATGGGTTTTCTAAATAAAGTGTGTGAATTTTTTTATTGGACAGTTTCTTTAACATGTTTTTTAATAAATGTTATGAGTAGTTTCGATGGCTAGAGAAACAAGTTTAATTGAATTTTCATTTAGAATATTGTCGTCGGTCATAAAATATGTTGTCGTTTTCGTCGACTAAATTGCTAAAAAGTTGCCCTTCTTTATGTTTTTTGTTTAGGGATTGAATTCCTTAATCTCAAGTCATTCAAAGGGAGTTTAGTCCGCAAATAATATTTTATGAAATTATATTTCCATATTAATTTATGAAAAATGTCATTATTAACTGATAACTTATTATTAATAATAATATTTTTTTTATAAAATATGATAAAAGTGTCATTACCTTCAAATTCTTATGTATTATAAAAAATTCTTTTTTCATGCGATATGGGAGGCACGCCCGAATCAATGAGCAATACACACTGTGACAGGAAGAGAGAGCGCTTGATCTCAATAACATTTCTTTTTTCTCGTTTAACATAATGATAAAAAATATTTTTAACGTTCCATTAAATGATTACTTTAATTTCTATTTTTTTAGTATTTTGATCATAATATTTCATTTTAAGACAAAATGATTCATACGTGGATAGAAATTGCTAGTCAACAAATTATCATCGCTCCCAAATAGAAACTTTTTCATCATAAAATAAAACGTTAGAGATCAAAATATTACAAAAAAGAATAAGGACTAAAATGATTATTTAATCAAAATTAAATATCTTTTTACCTTAAAATAAACGTTAGAAGTCAAAATACTTTAAAAAGAATAAAAATTAAAATAATTATTTAATCAAACGTTAGAGACAAATTTTGATATTATATCTTTTTCATTTAAAAAATGTCAAGAAAACTATATATATATATATATATATATATATATATATATATATTATAGGAAGATTTTGCTTCTCTTTGTATGTGCAACAATTAATGCAAGTCGATGCATGAATGCATACATATTCATGCATGTACAATATAACAAGATTGGTGGAGTACAAAGAGCTTCACCAACTAACTTGTCGAGATCCCAACTCTATTGCTTGATAAATATTAATGATAGATAAGTCGCAAAACTGCGTTATATCCTACCTTGTGCTATTATTTTCCGTACAATGTTAAACCCCTTTGGTTCCGACTTTTAATTAATTAAACTAAACAGAAAGCGACACAAGTCAACGATTCCTTCTTTTGGGGACGGGTGGGGTTGGGATCTCTTTTTTCACAGAGCCCTCAGGAATCCAAGGTGCTGACAAGCATGGCATCATCAATCTAATTTTTCTCTTTCCAAATATAATATACTCTATCATACACAACCCTTGTGGATATATTTTGTAGATGTAATTATTCGAATCTGAATTTTCTAAGAAGAATAACATTATCTTGTTATTAAGGTCTCTTAATAAATTCTACATAATATATTTTTAAAATATAACTTCAATCAATATATAATAATAATAATGATCAACCATCAATTATTTTAACGAGATATTATAAATCCTTAAATGTTTATGAATTGAACCCTGGCATTGGATTATACTACAGTTATCTGTGCTACAGGATATTTAATTGTAGCATTGTTGGTAGAGAGAACACAGTAGAACTGCCTGACTGTCCATCAACCTGTGTCTCTCCCTCAATACCAAGGCTTTTTCATGATAATGAAGGCAAAGGCACACCTTCAAACTTCTATATATACCCTCCCCTTCCTATAATGAATCCAAAAGCCTTTAATTGCTTTTATTATATACATAATTCGTTCTCACTTTGCTTTTGTTGAGTGATGACGCGAAACAAGGCAGAGCGAAACAAGGCAGAGGTTGATAAAAGGAGTAGAGCTCCAAAGGGTCATTTCGTGGTATATGTGGGCAGTGAAATGAGGAGGTTTGTAATTCCAACATCGTTCCTGAAGAACCCTATGTTCCAGCAATTGCTTGACAAAGCTGCAGAAGAATATGGATTCAATACCCACAACAACAGGCTTCTTCTACCTTGCGATGAGTCTACTTTTCAAAGCCTTACTCAGTATTTGGCCAAGCATTGTTCTTAAAACATTTTTCTCCATTCGCAGCTATTGACAATTACTTGAAAAATCATGGCCATCCGTCTGAGATTGTATCTGTCAATACCTCTAGTGTAATCTGTTAATAAAAATGCTCAAATTTCAAAAACAAATTCAATAATGTAAAAAAAGAGAGTAAGTAATCTGTTAATCAATGAAGCTCTCAAGCTCTTAATATAAGATCAATGAAGCTGTAACGGCTGGTCATGCAAGAGCTCTGAGGCCTAAAACAGTCAGTGTAGACCGAGAAGAAAGGAGATTAAACCGAGGCGTATCCCTGGTGAAAATATCGTAACAAGCTAAAGAAAAAGGCAATGGAGTTGCAGAGTAGGAAACAAATATGTTGCCCATGATCTGTTCAAACGGATGATGCTCACTGCAGGGCACACCTTGTTCAAGTTATCAGGCATAGAAAAGCAAGTAATAGTTTGTTTTATCATGATTCCTTTTTCTTTCCTCTTAGCACTGCTTCAGATTCTGCTATTCTTATATTTTAGAACATGATAAATGAATGCACTTCGGACATTGTGTTTTGGTATATTATCAGTGCCTGTGTTTTAGCGCATCCTTTCGAATATTTTGATAGTACAATTTTTCTTTCTTTCAAAACACATGAAATAAAAAGAATAACCATATAAAACTAAATCAATATTACAAAGCATAAGCATTGCAAGATAACTATATTCACAAGACTGAAAACCCAATGTTTACAATCCTCTTCTCACATTACACACATACACTAGTCATTTGGGGAAATCAAAATAAATTACATAAACCTTATGCTACAATGTACAATTTCGGCAAGTTAAAATCTCGACATTAGATAAGAACACAACCAATCGTATCAAGAACTGTAATGATTTACCATATGTAGGGCATTGCATTCTTTCAAATTCACCCGTAATTACTAACCTCATTAACATTCTGGAAGAGAATGAGCAGATGCAAAAGGTGAAAAACTAGCAGCTGACCCACTATAATGCAGTGGATTCAGTTGGCAACCTGAAGAACTGACTAAACTTGGTGACATGTTGTTTGGGATCGGAAAATATCGGGACATGTATCTTGCATTAAGCGGTGATACGGATGGATAATTCAACGAGGCAGGTGAAACCAAATGAGAAGTATGAGATCTTTGAGAAGTTGTGTTTCTAAGTTCTACTGAGCTTCTGCTATAGCTCATGGAAAGAGATTGATGGTAGGACCTAAATGATTGCTGAATATATGGAAGGCTGGCAAGAGACTGTGTCTGAGAAGCCAGTGGAGATGTCCATGATTCTGGGGCAATTTGTATTGATGACGATGATGCTAATGATCTAACGGATGATAACACAGAGGAAACTGAGCTTGGGGTGGTTGAAAGCAATGGTGTACTTTCTGATGCTGGTAAACCACCTGCAGTGGTTCTTGCATCATGCTTGCAAACGGGGCAAAATGTTCTCCATGTTGTAAGCCAAGAATCAATGCAGAAAGCATGGAACTCTGAAAAATGTAGGGAAATATTAAGATATATACACATTAAAAAAAACACAAAAAATTAAAATAAGGTGAACAAATCAAGTTTTGAAGAAGCTTTACAGAAGTCACTATATTATGAAGGCAAGAATGATAGCAAAAGTCTACATTCACAGCTTATACTTTGGTGTCCCAAATAAAACTAATTAGTAAACAAAAACGAATGTAAAATTGATATTTCCTTTAAAGTTTCTTCGAGCGACATTAGTATGGAGGAGGGGATGATAATGATATAAATCAAAAACTTGTAACCCCAATATAGTTTGTTTTGTAATGCAATCATAAAGACAAAGAACATAGACAACTGCAGTTTTATTAGCCTTCGGATATTTTGGCTGGACAGCACTGCTTCTTAGAGAAGCAGTGTTTCATGTTCCAGTAAATCACAATATAGAATAAGACGAAAGAAATTAATACAAGATAGAGAAAGGTTGGTTTTAAACCCGAAACAGAGTGGGAAACTGAAAGGTAAGAAGAAAGAAGTCGGAGCTTGACATCAAGATTTCTAAATACTACAAATTTCTAAAAGACTTCTAGATAGCCTAAACCCGCAAGGACTTTCCATCATACAACTCAGTCAAATTTGAAGAAAATCCTACACTTCGAAGTCTAAACAAAATCCCAAAATGACAAGCCTCTTGGACTACACACTTCGAATTTTCCAGAAAATCTGAAAAATAACAGAAGAAACTTGAACCCTAAATTTAAGTAATCCAATTAACTGATATTTACTACTTCCAAGCACAAGCATTCAAGGACTTAAAACTTACCATCAGGCATCGTGATGAGCTTAAGTCATTCATGCATGCCCTCCCTTTCTCTCAAACAATGCTCGACTTGGAAGGCCACCATAGTGATGCAGGAGCAGTTCTTTTATAGTTCTTTATTCCATTCTGTTTTGTTCTTATTTCAAAGTGTTTTCTTTGTAACAAGTAGTGACATGACTACCATGTGACATTTTTAGGCTTAGACTTAAGATATTTTGAGCCTTGAAAGATTGGGATAAGGTTTAGTAATCGGCTAATGACCCTAGTATAAATGACCCTAGGGATTAGTACTCAACATTTAGTAGATTTTTCATCCGTGATATTGTGTTTTCAGTTTTGAGAGGTTTCTAAATCCTATAACACTAAAAGCTTAGCTCACTAAGCTTCAAAATAGTATTTACATAAAAGATTGTCAATCATATTTGTATGCAACAATCTTATAATTACAATAATCATTAATCTATATGTAGCATAATTATAGTAATACTCTTGAATCATCAAAGAGAATACTCATGCTTAAAACAGAACAGAATGTGCAAGTATTCGGGACAGCAAACACATTATAAGCATAAAGCAGGTGAGTGCATCTATGCATGCATGTAACCTGTCATCTATGGGTAATTTGGATTCTTTGAGTGAGATTAGATTGAAGACATGCAAGTAACAAGTGATAACCAGATTCAAACTCTTGGGGTATATACAGGAATCCATTTGCCCATCTAGCTCTAACTTGTGCATTTTGAAACTTTTCAAAGCGATAGAAACATAAAGGACCAATTAATCACATCTTCTTTAATTAATCAAGAAATATTATTTTATATGAACAAAGAACAATTCATGAGAAGAGAGGAAGATCAAATAAACTCCTCAAATTTAGCAGTTTATGATAAGCAAAACTATTCTGATTTCATAGAGAGCTAAGTTCTACAATGACATTCTCCGGTACATTTGAAATGTGCAGAAGTAATATCCATTTAACCCCTAAATTTCCCTTCTTTGGGTTTTAATTTGGGGAGGAAAAAAGAAAAAAAAAAGACAAGGAAAAAACAAGAACTGTTAGCATCTTATGCTTCTAACTCAAGCAGACCAAGCATCATCCATCTCCATTTAAATCTAGAATTGTCCTATTGTAAGCAACAAAAAATCATTTTGTAAGAACAGAAATAAGATAACCACCAAAAAATGACTCATGAATTGGCTGCTTAATCACTGTGCAACATTTATGCAAAGAGACACTGGATCACCACATTACCAAATATAATTACCACATAAAAATAGCAAGCAATGTCATTCTCCTTGTTGTAAGAAGCTTACTGTGACAACATGGAAGAATCCTGAGCTTCTCTCCAATGGTATAATCTTCAAGACATACTGCACACGTTCTTGAAGTAGAATTATCATCCAAGACAGCAGTGAATACCAAGCTAGGCATTGCTTTTACTAAACGCTTGCTCATTCCATGGAATTCACTAACTTGAGAAGATCGAGGACGTTCTAGTCTAATGTGATGCCTGCGTACAAAGAAACAAGTCGCGAGGACTGCCGACATGGCAAGTAAAGATATAAAGGAGATGGCCATGATCGACCATGCAGAATTGTCAAAAGTAGGGCTTAGCCATAGCTCGATATCAGTGAACCCAGCATACTTTTTGAGCATTTCACCAGAAGCTTTGGAAACAAAGACAGCATGTATCTTTATGCCAGCAGCATTCCCTGCCACTGTAAAAAAACATACATTACAAGGTAAAGTTAGATGCACCATATAGAGAATCATACATGTTCAGCGCAATGATAATGACTGATAGAAATTAACATCTGCCACTCAAGAAAACACAAAAAAGATAATAAACAAATTTGGACTGGAAAAAGATATGCATAAATGAATAATGGGAGCATATTTATAACTGTAGAAAGAAATATCGGTAAAGATTTGGTCCCAATTCTCTCTTTTCTTCAAAGCTTTCCGTTATCCAGCAAGAATACGCCACAATAGTATATAACCTATCTTTAATTTCAAGCGCACACTGTAATTTTCAATATATTTCTGCAAAATAGTATCTTCCCAACAGTAAATTTCAACATCCAAAAAGTTACTTGTGAAGATGATTTTGCAATTACAGGTGTGATTGATTAAATCAATTATAGTTTGACTGGTGTAATATATTTACTCGGGCCAGAAGTAAATCTAAAGAAATGAAGATATAAGCATGGTGAGTTATCATAGTAAACTGCTTAAGTGTAATATGCATACTGCTTTAAAGAATCACATAATACACAATTGATTTCTATATGGATGTGGCAAGTGTAGAATTAATATGAAAATTCGAAGTCATTCATGCAATTTTATGCCTAAGAAACAAAACCAAGAATGGAATGTTATCATGGTGACCAGATAAATTGCAGAGTAAAAGATTAAAAAGTTACTATCACTAAGAAAACAAAAATATGGCGTCATGATTACCAATTACACCAAACTATAATCCATCAAATATGAATTTAGGAGAATGCTTACGGTTGAAAAGTTCGAAAAGGTTGAACAAAAGCGTAGTAGTGGAACTGATGCGATCAAGAGTTAGTAGGAAATAATGTCAAAAGGCAATTCAAAGGGTTTCACGAAGACAAATGAGAAAAAAGGGCTCCAATAATGATTACTGGCAATAAATTGCTTGAATGGCCCAAGTATCTTTCTAGTAAACCAAGTTTACCAAAAGTAAGATATGCAATTTCAATCATTCAAAATGAAAAGGTGTTTTTAAAGGAATAGGGAGTTACTTGCAACCAAGAAACCATCATCATTGTCATAGACAATAGAGGCTTTGAACCCTGCCTTTTGCACTCTCCTTACTTTCTCATCAAAACCACAACCTCCTCTAATAACCAGCGCAAAGGGAGAAGTAATATTGGAAATCTTTTCCACATTATTACTCAATTCCGAACAGGCATCGAGAGGATTTGCCAAATATAATACCCCACATTTCCCTGACCCTTTAACTGGCGGAGCTGAAAATCATCAACAACAAAAATGAAACATCAAGCAAGAATTCGATTATATAGTCGACACCAACTGACTTCAAATTTTCAGTTCAATCAAACATAAGTTACTTCAATTTGTCATTCATGTGCAGTTTATCTTCAAATTAAATAAGTTAATCATAGAGAAGAAAAAATATATACAATTTGGAGCTCTCAGAATACTTAAAAGATTCAATCTGTCTTGAGTTTTCAACATTTTCTCAGGAACCAAACAGGAAAAGCTGAAAGCAGATTTTTAAAAAAAATTATAAAGAAAAAATAAATAAAAAGAGCATACCAAAATTAGCTTGAACAGCGTCGAAAGAGATAGTAACGTTGTTCCCAACCAGCAGCACACTAGCTGAAGCCATCCAACAAACACCCAAAAAACAGAGGAACCATAACAATAATACCACACCACCATTCATCTTCATCGAAAACAGAATTTAAAAAAAAAATCCTAAATCTCAGTAGAAAGAAAGAGAAATGATTCAGTTGGGGTTTGAGAAGGAAATGGACACATCAGCTTCCATTAGCGAAATACAAAATAGATGGATAAACAGAAGAAAACCCTAATTCTGCTTCCAGAGTTCGATGATTTGTAAATTTACGATCTATAAGGATTATTTTTTATTTTGGCTATTAATTCAAACACAATAGCAGGAACGAAAATATCTTTTTCATTTGTCTGTTTCCTCAACTCCAATTTCCAATCATTTAAATACATAATAGAAAGACAAAGTATTTATCTATTCTATTTTTACTTTTTTATGTAAATTATTACTATTATTTTGATTAGAGGGAAATTATTTCACATATTTGTTGATAAAAACTGTTTAGTTGTCTTATTGGCCTATGTAAATCTGTTTAGTTTAATCCGGGAAAATTTTAGCGCCTTTTTCGCGGGAATTTAATAAAGTTTAGACCGTTCACTTTACCCAAGTAGCCGGTGACCTTTTTTTTCCTGATTAGTATCGGTGAATGCAATAATACAGTGAATGTTTAATTTTTTTTAATTATTTGATAGTGAATATTTGTATACTTTTGTATATGATATATTTAAGTCTAAAATGTTAAAAGATAATAATAATCCTTTAATCATTAAAATTAATTAATTTATAATTAATTAAATAAAACTTTTATCCCTTATTATAATTTGTTTGATGCAATAAAAAAACAAATTTAATAAAGTGGTATAAGTACGGTTTGAAAAATAGCATGAATGGTATGTAATTTTAAAAAGTGAAAAGCTTAATTTAAAAAAAATAATTAAATTATACTTATTTTTCTATTTAATTTTCTATTTAATTATTTAAATGTTTAATGTTATAAATGTTATTATTTTAAGTGTTCTGACTACAAACACTGTTAGAAAAATTTCGTCAACCATTCAAAATACGATAGATGTTACATTTATATTTTTTTTAAAGTTTTATTTAAAAAACTTAAAATTATTATTATTATTTTAGGAAACCCCAAATATTTTTAAAATTTCAAAAACACCCAAAACTTTTAAAATTCCAAATCTCTAAATTCCCTTATTATCCCCAGCTGTCGCCGGCATCACCATCGTCAGTCACCAGCTGCTGCCTCCATCTTCGGTCATATACATTTTGCACTCTCGCACAATACACCCCCACACACCCCGCGTTGAATATAAAGAATTAGATCGGTCGACCATGAATTCCTCTTCTTTTCTTTATATCTCAATCTGGTATTAGGATGATAAATTTTTAAAGGAAGAGGAACCTTGAGTCTGCTGCTTGGATTCATTAGTGGTTTTTTAATCCATACATATGAGTATATTCAAGCAGGTGGTTCTCGAATTGGGAACTATGGGCACCCCCACTAGAAAATGGACATCTTCAAATATTTAAACAGGAAACTAAATCGACGCTGCTCTTCTACATAAATGATTCATCCAATGAGATAAACGACTACTCGGTGCAAGGAAAAAGGGGGATTCGTCTCCTCTGTTGAAGAAGTGGCTAAAGCAGTTAAACCCCACAAATACTCCCGCAAATATTCAAGAAGGGGATTGATCTCCTGTTGTGATTTTGGGTGTTCTTGATTAACGATGCTGCTATGAATCAACGATAAATGGATTGTTTGTGTCGACAAAGATGCTGGTGACAAAATCAGATCGTTCGCTGGTGCTGAGGTGGATTTTCTTCTTATGTATTTTGGATATTTTGTGGAAAAATGGAGTGTTTTTTTTAAATTTTATTTTTTTTAAATTTTGAATGAAATTAAAAATTAGACCATGTGTTAAACATTGATTGGTTGACTGATTATTAATAGATATTTTTAACGGTTGTCACGTTCCAGACATTTAAAATGGTAATACTTGTAACGTTAAACACCTATATTGATCGAAAAAAATTTAAGCATTTAAATAGAAAAAATAGTATAATTTAGACACTTTTTATATTAATACAAATGAAAATTATAAAATGCAATTCATTTAGGCAGTTTTATATATTAAGCCAAGTAAAAATTATAAAGTATAAGTTACACATTCTTTTATATTACATAATTTTTATTTTACCTATTGTAATTCATTTAATAAAATTATAATAAAATAAGTGATTTAATAAAAAGAGTTTTATATTCTTTTAAATATTTTAACAATTTGTTAAATTACTTTCTTTTCTTTAGCCACAATTAGTCTTTTTTCTTTTTCATTTTTGTAATCGACGGCAACACTAATCTTGGGGTTGGACGACGACCGTCAGTATTTATTATTTTTTTCTTCATTTTAATATAGTTTATCCCTATTTTTTTATTTTTTTAAATTTTTAATAAATCTATCTTTATGATATGTTTTTTTGCCTTTATGGTATGAATTTCTCTGTTATTATGACATATTTTGTTGTTTGATCGTTTGTTTTCATTTATCTTTTTTTCATGATTAGATTTGACATCATCATGACTAATAAAAAATATTGAATAAGATATGATAAAATTTTATCTCATAATTCCAAACGAATATCATATCTTAGTCAGCAATGTTAACGCCTAACTCAAATAACTGTTAATTTGTTAACTGAAAATGATAAGTTTGAAACGTAATAAATAATCGAGTAACCATTTTGTAACTTTTAATAATCGGGGGACAATTTGTATATTTTTCCCTTGATAAGAATAGAGGTTTAAATAATAAAGTTATGGTTTTATATTCTATTATGTGAGACATTTAAAATGATATATAATATGCTCGAAATGATTAAGTGGTGAATGAAAAATTGATGCTCATAGTAAATCATATGAAAAAAAATTATTGATGGAAAATTTGATATCTTAAAACACTTGCACCCCGGGAATGTCTCAGGAAAGGCGGGTTAATATACGGCTAATATACAGCGTTACCGGATACATTAAAAGATATTTAACAAATTCGGTTTAGCGCTACCGAAAATGTTGTCTAATAATAATGTAGTAGGTCTAAGTCATGAAGAAATATTAAAAAATTGTGCAACCGGCAAACTTAACTTGTCGGTTCGTGTCGATCCAAATTAAAAATGTGTCGATCCAAAACGATATAACAGGTAAAACTATGACAAAACCAGTATTGAAATGATAAAACCGGTAAAGCGCTACCGGATACATTTAAAGTGTCGGTACTTTAATATAAGGATCGACACTTCGTGAATTTAAAAGAGAAGCAATTTTAAGTCCTATAAAGTGTCGATACTTTTAAAAAATGTATCGATCCAAAACGATATACCAGGTAAAAATATGATAAAACCGGTAAGAAAATGATAAAACCAGTAAAACGTTACCGGATATATTGAAAGTGTCGATACTTTATATAAGGATCGACACTTTGTAAATTTAAAAGAGAAGCAGTTTTAGCGCCTATAATGTGTCGATACTTTAAAAAAATATATCGATCAACAACGATATAACAGGTAAAAATATGATAAAACATGTATCAAAATGATAAAACCGGTAAAATAATACCGGATATATTGAAAGTGTCGATACTTTCGTAAGTACGTGTAATAAATTATCGACACTTTCAAAGAAATAGGTAATTATCCTTTCGAAAGTATCGACACCTGACATAAAAGTATCAACACTTTTGTATTTGTATCGATTAAATATAAATAACATATCCGATGAAAATATAAGCTAAATATCCTCTGAAAATAGATAGAACGGACGAGTTTTTGAAATCGAAGCGTAATTGTTGCTGCATTTCAGAAGGCGTTTCTAAAGCGAAGTTTGTTTGTTTGTTGCTGCAGTCGAATCGAAAAGTATGTTGTCGAAACCCTAATTTTTTATTATTACAGTAATCGCGATAGGGTTTTTATGTGTTGTTTGAGGTTTTGGAGTAAAGAAGCATTTGAGACCGATTGCAGGTAGAAAGTGATATTCAAGGAAAAATATAAATGTCGATACTTTTATTAAATATTATAGGTAGAAAATGATATTATAGGTTGTATAAATGTGCCGACACATTTTGGTGTGACCATTCAAATTCTTTTGAAGAAAACCGTTTTACCACAAGAGTAGTTATCTATATTTGTATATTGAATAAAGTGTATGTAACAAAATAATTTGATTTGCGTAAACTGATATATGAAGGAAAAATGGAGTCAATGGGTTGGAAAATTGTTGGTGGAGCAGATGACTTTGAAATTGAGGCCGAGACTCGAAAGCAACCAAAAGGGTGGATATATGTACTTCTAGTAAGTATCAATGTCTTTTTGTTATTATTGTTGAAATGGTAATTGGATTAAAGTATCGATAAACTTTAAATTGATTACAAATTTTAAATGTTGACAGTATGGCCGAATGCAAATGGATGAAGGAAGATGGCACACAGAGCGGTTCGGTATGTAAAATGAAATTGATATTGAGTAGTATTTAGTGTTAATGTATTGATTAAGAAACGTTTATGTTTAATATTAGGTGACAAAAGATGTGAGGTCCAAATGGAATTCAATGAGTGATGCTGAAAAGGAACCTTACATCACACAGTCAAGGAATGATAGTAAAGAATACAAAGAACGGAGGAAAGCACATGAAAAATAAGGTATTCATTAAACTAGTAAATACGTTGATACAAAATATATAAGAACTATAACATTATATATTGTTAAAAAATGTAGGAAGTGTCGACAAGATGCAGCATTAAGAGGGTGAATTTATTAATTAAACACCTTAAGGAGAAGGGTCAGTTGAATGTGCTGGGAGAAATAGGTTTTGGATCGTTGGTAGGAGTAAGGGATCGACCTATTCGGAGGGAATTGTGTCGATCCTTGATGGCGCAATTTGATGTCAGACAATGTATTGCTAAGTATGGTGATTTTTCATTTCCTCTCGGGATCCCATGTGCTGCAGCCGTATTGGGGGTAGAAAATGAAGGCAAAAGTATTGTAGAAGTCTGTAAGAGTAAGGACTGGAAAGCACTTGCCTCCAAATATTGTTTGAAGCATAAGGTGACATATGCTGAAATTGAAGAGGAAATAAAAAGTGGATCTTACGTTGGGGATGAGCTGAAGGCCAGAGTTCTATTATACCTTGTCGATATCTTTCTTTGTCCAACGGGTAATACGTCAACGAACAAGGAACATATGAAGCTCATTTATGATGAAGGCTTGAAGGGTGAATTTAATTGGGCTGAATATATCCATTCGAGATTGATTAAATCAATAATCACCTTTAAAAAGGGCAGCCAGAGATACCTCAAAGGGTGCATAGCAATCTTAGAGGTAAATGAGTTGAATAACTTTTTTGTGTTTTTATATAAAAATATAAATTTTATTATAAATGCAGGTTGCACTGTTCGATTTTTGGTCGGGCTGTGAGGCAGTGCCGGCTTATGAAAGAACCGGAGTGGCACGTATCCGTGCATAGGGGAAGGAAGAGGTGGTTAGAGTGATGGTGAAGTTGAAGTTGGATAGAGCGAAGAAGCAAGAAAGGGTAATAAATGTAATTAAATAGTATTAAGAATATAATCAATGTCTTAATATTGTAATTTTATTTTGAAGGTTATTGGCAAGGATGTAGAGGAGGCAGAGGAGAAGAAAGGAGGGATGGTTGTATTGGGGGATGACGGTGAGTGGGACGACGGTGAGGGAAAACATAGTAACTTCGATATTTTTATGTCTGAATTGGCTGATATCAAAAAAATCCAATTTGATATCATGCAAAGACAATCAAGAGTCGAAGAGAAACTTGATAGAGTCGAAGAGAAACTTGAGAGAGTCGAAGATACACTTGAGAAGCATAAGGGGGTAGTGGAAGGAAAAATAGATGGAGTGGTGAAAGAAGTAGAGGTGTTGAGGGGTGAAGTGGTGAAAGAAGTTGGGGTGTTAAGGGGTGATATTAAGATGGTGACGGGTGAAAAATTTGAGGGAGTGGTGAAGGAGGTTGTGGAATTGAGGAGTGAACTTACGGGGGTAAAGGGGGTGGTTGATAAATACTTGGATGAAGGAGATCAATTGAAGGGTGAAATAAAAGAGATGAAGAGCTATGTAGAAAAAAATACGATGAACTGAAAAAATATGAAGAAGAAAAGAGGGAGGAGGAAGAAGAAGAGATGGAAGAATTGAGGAGGAAGGAAGTCGATGTCATTTATACACCGGAGAGTGTTATAGCAGCAGATTTGGATTCGGAATGTCCTGCACCCCAGAAGAAGAAGCAGAAGGTAAGTTGAATAAAAGAAAACTTAATTTGGTTTTTATTATGTTGTTGTGACAAAAATTTGTATGCAAAATTGTAGGTTGAAAAAGCGGATATTCCAAGCGGAATTGATGACATCGAATCTGCAATTTGTGATTATTTATGGAATAGTGAGTTAGAATCGGAGTAAGTGAAATATATCGCTTTGTGAGTTATATTTAAATATTTCATTACAACATATTAATCCTAATGATTCATACAGATATTCTGTAATCTCAATGGGAAATCAATTCGCTAGTGTATACGACGTTGCAACGTTGAAGCCTACGGAATGGGTTGGCGGTGTGGTAAGTAGAAAGTAGAAAATGTTAAAACTTATTGAATATGTTCTGATTGTGTAATTAATTTTGTTAGGTTATTGATTTGCTCGCCTGGACAGTATGCTACGATTCTCAGAAGTCACTCCGGAGGATTGGCTACCTTCCATACCACTTACGGTGAGTTAAATTAATAAATGGAGATAAGTAGTGTTATAGACGGTAAATTAATAATGTTTGTTGCGTAATTGCAGCAGCAGGCGTTGGATGCCAACAGCAAAGAAAGTGTTGAGAGTATTGCTACCTTCTGGGGTCCCATACTGAATAACTATGTGAAATTCACCGACTGTGAGAAGGTAAGACACCATACCAATTGCAAATGATGTTTTCGGATATAGAATGTTGAATTTTTTCAAATTGGGTGTGAAATTTGTTGTAGATCATGATCACAATAAACTACCATAATTCACATTGGTATATGTTGGTGTTGGATATGGTAGATCGTGTTGCAACAATATATGATAGTATGTTTACAACTGAAGCAGCTAAACATAGAGTGAAGGATGCTAAGAGATTGGTATGTATGTATGTATGTATGAAAGGACATTATGTAAATTATAATGCATAATTTTTTTGGATCATAACTTCTTCTATTTTAATGCAGATTAAAATATTAGATTCTTATAATAAGAAACGCATTTGGGTTGAATCCTGTGGATCTCTAGGAAAGTATCCCTTGAAAAATTTCAAATTTGTGGAGCATAAGAAGAATAAGCAATTGAATGGGTATGAGATGTTATCACAAATAGAAAGATTAATTTATGCAGTATTCATCATAATTGACATGTGTGGTTTTCAAATTTTGTAACAGACATGATTGCGGCATGTATGTGATGATGTGGATGGAATCGATCGGTTCTACAGAGGTAACTGGTGATTTTGTAAGTGGAAAGAAAAATTCGTTTGTGGTAAAATTATTAAAAGTCGTAGATTGAATGCTGTAGTTTACAATACTTAACGTTCTGACAATTTGAATATAGGTTGTTGGAGAGTGGGATCGATCGCGAATATTAAACGATCTCGTAAGCCACAATCAAAATGAACGAAGACAGGAGATAATAAAAGATGACATGATACATAAGAATAACAAAAGGATGCAATGATGTAAATGTAGGGTTAATTTTGTATAAGATTTATAATTTTGTATACGATTTATAATTTTGTATGTGAATATAATTATGAATGAGATGAGAAAAGTTAGCAGTATGTTGTTGTACATGTTTCTTATACACATTAAGGGTCATGTTGATACTTTAAAGTAAAAGGCAAATTTACAATATGGCCAACAGGGTGCAACCATAAAGTGTCGATCCCAAAAACATCGAAAACCAAAAGTATAATGTAATATGTAATTTTTCAATCTAACCGGTACAAGTATACCGGTTTTATGAGAGAATATGTCTAAATAATGTGTCGACACTTTTTTAGTTTGTGTCGATATTTTTTGTCCAGAATGAATGGAAAACAGGGGTGCAACCATAAAGTGTCGATCCATATATAAAAAGTGTCGATCCCAAAAACATCGAAAACCAAAAGTATAATGTAATATGTAATTTTTCAATCTAACCGGTACAAGTATACCGGTTTTATGAGAGAATATGTATAAATAATGTGTCGACACTTGTTTAGTTTGTGTCGATATTTTTGGTCCAGAATGAATGGAAAACTGGGTGCAACCATAAAGTGTCGATCCATATATAAAAAGTGTCGATCCCAAAAACATCGAAAACCAAAAGTATAATGTAATATGTAATTTTTCAATCTAACCGGTACAAGTATACCAGTTTTATGAGAGAATATGTCTAAATAATGTGTCGACACTTTTTTAGTTTGTGTCGAAATTTTTGGTCCAAAATGAATGGAAAACAGGGGCAACCATAAAGTGTCGATCCATATATAAAAAGTGTCGATCCCAAAAACATCGAAAACCAAAAGTATAATGTAATATGTAATTTTTCAATCTAATCGGTACAAGTATACCGGTTTTATGAGAGAATATGTCTAAATAATGTGTTGACACTTTTTTAGTTTGTGTCGATATTTTTAGTCCATAATGAATGGAAAACAGGGGTGCAACCATAAAGTGTCGATCCATATATAAAAAGTGTCGATCCCAAAAACATCGAAAACCAAAAGTATAATGTAATATGTAATTTTTCAATCTAACCGGTACAAGTATACCGGTTTTATGAGAGAATATGTCTAAATAATGTGTCGACACTTTTTTAGTTTGTGTCGATATTTTTGGTCCAGAATGAATGGAAAACAGGGGCAACCATAAAGTGTCGATCCATATATAAAAAGTTTCGATCCCAAAAACATCGAAAACCAAAAGTATAATGTAATATGTAATTTTTCAATCTAACCAGTACAAGTATACCGGTTTTATGAGAGAATATGTCGACACTTTTTTAGTTTGTGTCGATATTTTTAGTCCTGAATGAATGGAAAATAGGGTGCAACCATAAAGTGTCGATCCATATATAAAAAGTGTCGATCCCAAAAACATCGAAAACCAAAAGTATAATGTAATATGTAACTTTTCAATCTAACCGGTACAAGTATACCAGTTTTATGAGAGAATATGTCTAAATAATGTGTCGACACTTTTTTAGTTTGTGTCGATATTTGTGGTCTAGAATGAATTGAAAACAGGGTGCAACCATAAAGTGTCGATCCATATATAGAAAGTGTCGATCCCAAAAACATCGAAAACCAAAAGTACAATGTAATATGTAATTTTTCAATCTAACCGGTACAAGTATACCGATTTTATGAGAGAATTGGTATATAATATGTATCGACACTGTTTAATGTTTTGTCGATACTATTTTAAATATCAAGTGTTTTTTCACCGTTCACTATATATAGTACTCTAAATCGAAAAACCCTAAACATAAAGGCAAGCAGGCAGAAGATAACTCTTCCTCTTTCTTCTAGCGTTATCATAAGTGACGATAAGATATTCAGGTAAATTTATCGATATTTTATGGGTTTGATTGATTTCTATATTGGAGTTTTTTTCCTGAATGTGTTTGTGTTCCATTGTAATAGCATCCAACCAAAATGGCTCCAAAACGTCAGCGTCAGAAGCGCGGTCTTTCTCAAAGCTCTTCTCAACCCAGTTCTTCTCAACCATAACCTCCTTCTGTAACAAACGATTCTTCTTAGGAAATCAGGTCCTTCGAAACTCTGAACTTTAGATCTGATATGGAGAAACAAAGATGGCAGACGAGTTTTAAAGTAAGGAAGATTCGTCCCGAACGTGTCATTGACCTGGGTTTCTTGTTTGATGATAAATATACATTTAGTTTTAAATCCACATTTATATCTTGGGGTTGGCTTGAATTCATTGGTGTAGAACCAAGATATTATCTCAACCTAGTTAGAGTCTTCTACAACAATGCTTCCTTACAGCACGAGCCTAATAAGACTAATATAATAGGAATTAATACACATATCATGGGGAAGGATATATATATATATCTCCAGAAACTATTGCGGAGGGTTTAGGTGTAGCGAATAAAGGGGATTCAGATGAAAATGGTGTAGATTGGTCTACAATTAAACGGGTTGCTAGAAATAGCCCAATTCACCTCGATGTAGAGTCGAGAGTGTTTCACAAAATGCTCACATGGTATATCCGGCCTAGTGGGGGAAAACATTCAACACTTCGAGACATCGATTATTGGTGGATAGCAAAGTATAGATCCAAAACGGCTCCAAATATTGCAAAACTCATATTTAATACAATTGTATATATGGTCACAAAGGGAGCAACAATTTCAACTACACTACCATATGGATGTGTCATCACCCATCTGTTGAAGAAGAAGGAAGTTGATTTTTCGCATGACGCCCCTGTTCGATTAACCCGCAAGATTGACATGGTATTTATTAAAAAAGCGGGATATAATTTTGTTGAAAAACTCGGTTGGAAGCGTGTCAAGGAGGTCGGATTAGATCAAGAGAGGGAGGAAATGGACCCCGTTGGCCATGAAGAAGAGCAACCAAGTGGAGACGCAATGATGGAAGAAGCTCCAGTTGCAGAGGATGTCACAATTAAGACCGTGATGGAATGCATGGTCAATTTTCGGGAGCATATTGATTCCCTTGTGAGTGGAATGCGATCCGATATTTCATCATTGCAACATGAAGTCTCCATGTTGCGTAACGAATTACGTCAACGACATCAAACGAGTTAGGTAATTCATTATTTATGTTTCTAAACATTTACACGTTCTGAACTGTATTTTATTTTCTTTTAACAGATGTGGACAACCAAGCGGTCAATGAAGATGAAGCTGACGATGAAGATGACGATGATGATGACGATGAAGCTGACGATGAAGATGATGACGACGACGATGATGATGATGATCCAAACAAGTATATCGTGTCTGCAACGCCGCCTTCAAGAAAACTTTTAATTTTTTATCTCAATGGTGTCCTTGCCTACTTCCCAAGACTGCCTGCAGGTTTTAATTCTATTCTTTTGTATCCATTATTTTAACATATAAGCGTAGAACTTTAATCTCATTTTCTTCATGTTGTAGATGTTGTCCTCAGAAGAGGATTATTTGAATTTATGCAATTTTGTGTCGACAATTTTGTTGTTGCCCTTTGGTCTTCAAAGATGAGGTTAGAACATTTTTGGAACAATTGAATTACTGTAGTCAAAATCGTTAATATACATTTGAATGTTAACATTCAAACTTGATTACAATCTCAGGCATAACGTCGACCGTGTATTTGAGAAACTACCTGTATTTTCTGAGCATTTTCTATTCGTGTGGGTAAGATGAATGTCATTACAGTTTGCTGACTTTTCGTTGTCTATGATTCCTACATATTTATGTTCGACTGTTTGTGAACAGGATCAAAAAAAATGCAAAACATACGATTCTGTTACCTACTGTAAAGATCTCAATGTTGTTTGGAACGCGTGTCCAGATTTTAACGAGCTAAATACACTTTTGGTCGATGATGCAGCGGAAAAAATGATTTATAATCCGGTAAGTTGCATTTATGCAATATGTTTTTCCAGTTGAACAGGTGTTCAGACATTGATTATTTTAACAACTTATGTGTTTATATAGAAATACAATTACATATGTCCACATACCTTTGACGCTGCTTCCCATTCGAATGACAATGCTCTAGGTATGACACAAATTTATTCATGCTTATGCGAATTTAGTTTATTGTTAGTAAAATTGCACCTCATTAGTTTGATAATTGAAATTATTTATGTATGTCCTCAGAAAAAGGCGGAAACATACGAGAGTATTTGGAAAATTTGTTGAAGGCCTCTAATGTTCCGGACTTCGTTAGAAATAACCCTTTTTCATCGGATTAATTTTGTTCGTCGGTACATTATTTGAACATTCTTGTGTATTTATATTTTGGTGTGAT